TCAAACTGAAAATATATGACATTTTTTAAAAACATATTTCGACAGTTCTTCTGTCATCTTCAGTTCAATTTGACAACTTTGTGCTTTGCATGTTTTTTAAAAATGTTGTATATTTTCTAAAATGTTACTACTATTTTGCAAAACAGAGATGTACAACTCAAACTGACTGCAGAGAAGACCAGTGTTGCTTATTGAACAAGAGATGCTCTCCAAAACTTCCGAAGTACTTCACATGTTATTTAACGGTTAGTTGAAGAATGAAGGTTTACATTTCTTGTAGTCCAGTCGTGATAAAGGCAATAACATTGGTGTGGTATCATTAACAATCTTGTTATCGTTATCGTTATTTTTGCCGTTATCCTTTTGATCATAAATATTATTATAAGCGTCCGCCATTATTATTAGTATTATTAGAACTATTATTACGACTAGATCACGGAGGGTCGTGCGTTCGAGTCCCATCTGGGACTCGGACTTTTTTTATTACACTAACAACTTTTATTATCATTATTATTATTAATATCATCATGAGCAGTGTCAATAGCCTCATCATTATCACTATTGGTTTTGTTCTTATTATCATTTTTATTATCATCAGACTCATAATTATAAGCAGTGCCAGCATCATTTTCAAAGTTATCTATATCATCATCACTGTTGTCATAACCATAATAAAAATGAAAAAAAAAAAAAAAATCCGGCCTCTGATTGGGTGAAAACGAGTGTATTTTACCATGAATTTGTAAAACGATGTATATTACAAATAGTGCGCGTGTGCTGTCAAAACCTCGTTTCTTTGACTTAATGTGACGATTTTTCTTTTAAATTATTAGCAAGTAATGCCATGATTAGTCGTGCAATTTAAAGCAAAAGAGAACCTTTGTAAAATTTTTAGACTATAAATTGCACTTACCTTACGGTATCGTGCAATGTTTTTGTCTTTGAAAAATTTACTCGCACTTATTCACACCAAACTGCACTCGAAATCATGTCATTAACCGCAGTCCACACATATAATTTTCATATATTCACTAAAACCAATAATATTATTTGATTGATTTTTTTCAGCACTTGCACAAGTGTGGTTGCCGTGACGGTCTCATCTGTACCGAAACAGCCTCCGTTACCATCCCTCTGACTGGTATCAAGGTCGCCCTGAGGCAGTGCATGTAACTCGTACCACACTCTTGACCGAGACAAAGTAATGAGCCGAGGAGAAGACAAAACTAACCATGTAACGCTTAGAATCATTTCAGTGAAAGGAATAAAGATAGTCTTCGAGAAAAATCTGGAAATTACTTGTTGAATTCAGTTAACAGACTCTTTAATTCGAACAGTTCACTGACTTGCGGCATAAGATTGAAAGTCGATCATTTGTTATCATTCAGCCAAGCAAGGGGAAAAATTGAACAATTCCTGTGCACGTAGGAAATTGTCCCACAGTTCTGAGAACTGTTCATTAAATCTTCTCCAAAGCGGACGATAAAGCTAAAACAAACTTCGTTCTAAATTGCAACTTATGAGGTTATCTTTCATTGCCATGACACCAATCTCCAAAATAAAAAATTCATAAAGAGGAAGAAGAACAGCCTATCAGAGACTTACATTTTAGGTTAGGTGTCGAATATGAATGAAACAGAGGAAAAAATTCCAGAGTTTTCATCACGTAGTCGTACACCAGATTTTTACTTGTTCTACTCAATTGTACACTATTGAAGTAATCTTAAACGCCAGTGGTGTGGCA